ATATATGTTGGAAAATGAAAATCACCAGTAAATTTGTTCCCCAGGCATAACTATCATTAATGCTCTGGTGTAAATCTCTCCAGATCCCTTAACAAATGTCTATTTATTTATTTTTTAAAAGATTTTCTTTATTTAATTGACAGCAAGGGGGACAACGAGAGAGGGAACACAAGCAGGGGAAGTGGGAGAGGGAGAAGCAGGCTCTCTGCTGAGCAGGGAGCCCGACATGGGGCTCAATCCCAGGACCCCGGGATCATGACCTGAGCCAAAGGCAGACGCTTAACTGACTGAGCCACCCAGGTGCCCCAACAAATGTCTACTTAAATAAAAAGAGAATCCTGGTGCATATACTGTTGTATGACCTGCTTTTTTTTCATCTTTTGGTACATGTGGCCCATGTCAATAAAGAGAAAGCTATATATATATATATTTTTAAGACTTTATTTTTAAGCAATCTCTGCATCCAGTGTGGGGCTCGAACTCACAACCTGAGACCAAGAGCCACACACTCCACCGACCGAGCCACCCCGGCACCCGGAAGTTGTATATTTTTTGAACAGCTGCCATAGTATTCGATATGTGGGTGGGGCCGTATCTTCTATAGCCACTCCAGTTGTTTTGCTGTTATAAATAACGCCATGATGAACATCTTTCCGGACGTCCATCTTTATACATCCGTCCACTTGCTTCCCTGGGAGAAATTCCAGCAGTAGAAAGCGCTCCATTGCCAAGTCTTGGCATTGAAAGTTCTTTTTTTTTTTTTTTTTTAAGATTTTTATTTATTTATTTGAGATCACAAGTAAGCAGAGAGGCAGGTGGGGGTGGGGGGAGCAGGCTCCCCCCTCAGAAGGGAGCCCGATGTGGGGCTCGATCCCAGGACCCTGAGATCATGACCTGAGCCAAAGGCAGAGGCTTAACCCCCTGAGCCACCCAGGCGCCCAACATTGAAAGTTCTAATGGACATTGTCAGTCTCCCAGCACAAGGGTCTATTTAAGGCTGTTCTGCCAGTGACTCCCTCCTCCCCGGGCTTTGCCCCCCTCTGCTTTACCTAAGGAGTATTTACTCTTTTTTGAACCGTAGATGCGTCTGTTCCCAGAGCGGGGCTTCTGCCCATGTCCCACGTGGCCACAAAGCATGCCGTGGCCTGCAAGTGCTCCTCGAAGCTGCTGTCACCTCCTGCAAAGCCAGACCTCGCCCCGCAAGCACACGGTACCAAGCCTGCCGCTCTCCAGGGAGGACGAGGGCCCAGCGTGGGAACTTGCCCTGAGCAGCTGCGTCTGGTGAGTGTCTGTGGCCCTGCAGGCAGGGCCACCTGCTCACCATTGAAAGGGCCCCTCAAGGGCTTCGCTGCAAAGTGGGGGAAAGGACAGACAGCAGAACCCAGAGTGGCCTGTTCTGTGGCATTTCATGGACAGCGGTTTTCCCTTCCCAGGTAGACCAGGAGGGCGGGGCTAGGAGCAGGGACAGACAGGAGGGGCTGGGAGCACATGGTCCTCTGTGGCCCTCTGCTGTTCTGGTGACACAGGCTTCCAAACCACAGGAGGTTTCCTCTGGGCCTGGTGTTGAGATCTCACAATGCTTGCCCCTCACCGATGCTGGGGCTGGGGGGTGAGGAGCTGCCTAGCAGCAGCCATTCTGGGAGGAGAGAGGCCAGAGTCTGTCCCCAGACCACCAGCGAGACAGTCCAGTCCATGTCTGTTCCTCATGACGAGCTGAAAGAAAAGGAGGAAATCCATTCGGCACAGTGACTCTGTTCCTCTCTCCCTAAGCTCGATTATCCGCTCTGGAGTTCCTTCCAGTGCTAGAGCAGGGTTGGCAAACTATGGCCCATGGGCTGAGTCCCGCCTCCTGTCTGTTTTTGTAGATAAAGTTTTATTGGGACACAGTCACACCCATCGTTCACAAGTGTAGCTGAGACAGAGACGGCACGGCCAGTAAAATCTAAAACATTTGCTGTCTAGCTCTTTACAGAAAAAGTTTGCTGACTCTGGCCTGGAGATTTGTAGCGAGGGGGGCAGGAGACGGCACTGGTGCCCGGGGTACATACAGGAAGCCCCGTCACGTCATCCTCCCCACCCCCGGCGGAGCCCAGATCCGTGCAGGGAGCATGTTGGGCCCGGCAGTGCTAGTGTTTTAAATACATTCAGTAGACGTGAGCGGCCAAAGAAAGAGCCATTTAAATACATTTATTCACTGAGCGCCAGCTGCGTTGCCTCAGTTCATGGGGAGTGTGGGTTCTTTGTTCCCGAAACCTTCCAGTTTCAGTTCTTTCGTCTGTGGCATTGGTCTGTGTCTTCTCTCCCCACCCTGCCCTCTGTTTGTTTCTGTCAGAACAAAGAATGTCTTTTGCACTCTAGAAAACAGATGCGGGGGCGCCTGGGCGGCTCAGTCGGTTGGGTGTCTGCTTTCAGCTCGGGTCATGATCCCGGGATCCTGGGATCGAGTCCCGCTGGGCTCTCCGCTCAGCAGAGAGAACTGCTTCTCCCTCTTCCTCCACCCCTCCCCCTGCTTGTCCTCTCTGGCTCTATCTCTCTGTCAAATAAATAAACAAAATCTAGAAGAAGAAAAAAAAAGAAAAGAAAAGACGCAGATTGGTAGCTTCTGGCTGAGTCTTCTAGACCTCTAAGCTCCCAGGAGCCCTTACGGACAGTTTTGGATGGAAGGTGCAACTGGAAACTAGAATAAAGCTAGGGACTCTTGCAAAGGGGTGAGAAGCATCCAGGAAAGCGCCAGCTTCCCGG